GCATGGTGGTGCTGTGAGCTGCTGCTGCATGGTGGTGCTGTGAGCTGTTGCTGCCTGGTGGTGCTGTGAGCTGCTGCTGCCTGGTGGTGCTGTGAGCTGCTGCTGCCTGGTGGTGCTGTGAGCTGTTGCTGCCTGGTGGTGCTGTGAGCTGCTGCTGCCTGGTGGTGCTGTAAGCTGCTGCTGCCTGGTGGTGCTGTAAGCTGCTGCTGCCTAGCAGTGCTGTGAGCTGCTGCTGCCTAGCAGTGCTGTGAGCTGCTGCTGCCCAGCAGTGCTGTGAGCTGCTGCTGCCCAGCAGTGCTGTGAGCTGCTGCTGCCCAGCAGTGCTGTGAGCTGCTGCTGCCCAGCAGTGCTGTGAGCTGCTGCTGCCCAGCAGTGCTGTGAGCTGCTGCTGCCCAGCAGTGCTGTGAGCTGCTGCTGCCCAGCAGTACTGTGAGCTGCTGCTGCCCAGCAGTGCTGTGAACTGCTGCTGCCCAGCAGTGCTGTGAGCTGCTGCTGCCCAGCAGTGCTGTGAGCTGCTGCTGCCCAGCAGTGCTGTGAGCTGTTGCTGCCCAGCAGTGCTGTGAGCTGCTGCTACACGGCGAGGCTGTGAGCTGCTGCTGCCCAGCAGTGCTGTGAGCTGCTGCTGCCCAGCAGTGCTGTGAGCTGCTGCTGCGCAGCAGTGCTGTGAGCTGTTGCTGCCCAGCAGTGCTGTGAGCTGCTGCTACACGGCGAGGCTGTGAGCTGCTGCTGCCCAGCAGTGCTGTGAGCTGCTGCTGCCCAGCAGTGCTGTGAGCTGCTGCTGCGCAGCAGTGCTGTGAGCTGTTGCTGCCCAGCAGTGCTGTGAGCTGCTGCTGCCCAGCAGTGCTGTGAGCTGCTGCTGCCCAGCAGTGCTGTGAGCTGCTGCTGCCCAGCAGTGCTGTGAGCTGCTGCTGCCCAGCAGTGCTGTGAGCTGCTGCTACACGGCGAGGCTGTGAGCTGCTGCTGCCTGCACTACTCATAGTTGCTGTCTTAGTACCGAGTCCCTCACATCCAGGAATTACCTTGATAGTCTTGAGGTTACCTTGAGATGATTTCAGGCTTAGCGTCCCCGCTGCCCAGTTGTCGACCAGGCATCCTCGTTGCTGGACTGGTCAAACAGGCTGTTGGATGCGGCTGCTCGCAGGCTGACGTATGAGTCGGAGCCTGGTTGATCAGATATTTTTTGGAGGTGATTGTCAAGTTCTCTCTCTTGAACACTGTAAGGGGTTGGCCAGATATGCTCCTTATGTGAAGTGGAAGCATGTTGAACAGTCATGGCCGCTGATGTTGATAAGAGTTCTCTCTCAGAGTACCTAATGCACCTCTGCTTTTTAATGGGGGTATTCTGCTCGCATTTTTTCCTAAAACAAAGCCTGTTTACTGAAGGTCTGAGGAAGAGGATGCGAGCCTTGTGTACTCATGGGAGTTTAAAATGCACAGTTGAGGGGTTAAGGGCAGTATAAAAGCAACTTTTTCTTTTTAAATATGGTGCAAATATTAACAATGCAATCAAACCACATTTTCTGCTAATGTTGTAAATACATATACATGAAATACATGAACTTTTCAGATTTCATGTATTTTGGGAAGATTTCTGAAGTTTCCATTACAGTACAATATACTGAGTTCAAATTTGTTTATGGTGAACTGAACATTTGCATCCTACTGGGATGCTGCCATAAAGAGTTAAACATGCAATCTCTGAAATTAGTACCATATTGCTGGGGAAATGATAGCAATTATTTTCAAGTGAATAGCATAACTGCCACAACCCTTCTGAATTTGAAAGAAAGATCTTAAATTAAAGATCGCTTAATTAAATTTTAAGCGTGACGTATTATACAACTCAAAGAGTTAAAAAAAAAAAACATTATTAAAGGCTTTAAAAGCAATATTTATATGGTTTCTCGATTGTGAGAGTTATCTTGCCACCAGAGTAAGTGAGTGCTGTGAGGATGGGTACTGTGTGGGTGATTGGGATGTGAGTGATTGGTATGTGGGTGGGTTGAGGGGTGTGGGTGGGTCGAGGGGTGTGGGTGGGGAGAAGGGTGTTGGTGAGCCGAAAGGTGTGGGTGCATAAGAGGGTGTGGATGAAGGCTGGTGTGGGTAGGGGGAAGTTGATGGCGATTTATGTGAGCAGGAGGGTGACAGTTAGTGTAGGTTACAGATTGGTTACTAGTGTGAGTGGGCAAGTGGGAAGTTGTGGGCAGATGGTGTGCAAGGCTAGGTGCTGTGAGGTGGGCTTGTGGGTGGGTAGGTTGGTATGTGGGGGTGTGGGGGTATGTGGGTTGGTGCGTTGGGGTGGATGGGTGTATGTTATTGGGTGTGTGTGTGGGTGTTGGTGTGTGTGAAGGGGTGGGTGCATGTGTAGGGGTGAGCATATGTGTAGGTGTTGGTGTATGTATAGGGGTTGGGGTAGGTGTGTACGATGGGGTGGGGGCAGGCGAGTGTGTAGGGGTTGGTGAGTGTGTGGGAGTGGGCGAGTGTGTAGGGGTTGGAGTGTGTGTCGGGGTGGGCGGAGTTTGTGGGTGGGTGATGTGAATGGGTGGGGTGCATGGTCGGTATGGCTGGTTGATGTGCGAATGAGTGGGGTATGAAAGTGTGGGTGTGTGTATAGAAGCTGGGTTTGGTTTCTGTTCTGTGGTGTGAGTTTTCTCATGTCTCACCAAAGAATGCTTTTGTGAAAAGTATTTTAAACATTCTGAACACTGATAGGGTGTCTTTCCTGTGTGTGCTCTCATATGTGAAACCAGAACAGATTTATATGAGAATTCTTTAGAACACTCTGGACACTGATAAGGCTTCTCTCGTGTGTGAGTTCTCATGTGCGATACAAGAGCAGATTTCTCTATGAAATCTTTTGAACACTCTGGACACTTGAATGGTTTTTCCCCTGTGTGAATTTTCTGGTGTGTCAGCAGAACATGTTTTTGGGAAAAGAATTTGAAACACTCTGTACATTGATATGGCTTCTCACCTGTGTGAGTTCTCTTATGCATCACCAAAGAATGCTTTTGTGAAAAGAATTTTAAACACTCTGGACACTGATATGGCTTCTCTCCTGTGTGAGTTCTCTTGTGCATCTCAAGTGAATGTTTTTGTGAAAAGTATTTGAAACACAGTGCACACTGATAAGGTGTCTCTCCTGTGTGAGTTTTCATGTGAGATACTAGGCCAGATTTATATGCAAAATCTTTTAAGCACTCTGGACACTGATATGGTTTCTCCCCTGTGTGAGTTCTCATGTGTGATACAAGATATGATTTATCAGTAAAATCCTTCGAGCATTCTGGACACTGAAAGGGTTTTTCTCCTGTGTGAGTTCTCTGGTGTGTTACCAAAACATGTTTTTGTGAAAAGTATTTTAAACATACTGAACACTGGTATGGTGTCTCTCCTGTGTGCATTCTCATGTGTGATACCAGACCAGATTTATATGAAAATTCTTTTGAACATTCTGGACAGTGATATGGTTTTTCTCCAGTATGAGTCCTTTTATGCGACACCAAAGCATGTTTTTGTGAGAAAAACTTTAGACATACTAAACATTGGTATGGTTTTTCTCCTGTGTGAGTTCTTGAATGCTTTACTAAATCACATTTCTGTTTAAAGTCTTTAAAACACACTGAACACTGATGTGATTTCTCACTTGCATGCTTTTTCTTATGCGATACCAAAGCAGCTTTATCTGGGAAGTATTTGAAACACTCTGAACACTTGTATGCTTTTCCTCCTTTATGTTTTTTCTTGTGTAACAATAGAGTAGATTTAGCAGAGAATTTTTTTAAACACTCTGGACACTGATGTGGTTTCTCTCGTGTATGAGTTTTCATGTGTGTTATCAAATCAGATATATCTGAGAAGACTTCCATACACTTCGAGCAGATATGCGATTTCTCCTGTGTGTGTGTTTCCATGTGCGCTACTAAATCAGATTTTTCCAAAAAGTCTTTTGAACACTCGGTGCACTGAAACTGTTTTTCTTCTACATGAGTTTTCATGTGCAATTCTAATTCAGATTTATCTGAGAACTGTTTTGAACATGTTGAACATTGATTTGATTTCTCTACTGTATGAGTTTTCATGTGAGATACTAGAGCAGATATATCTGGCAAGTCCTTTAAACATTTTGAACACCGGTAAGAGCTTTCTTTTGTTTTAGAACTCATGTTGATTTTTTTTAGGTAAACACGACTTGCAAAAATATTTTAAGACACTTGGAGCACTAATAAGTCTTTTATAAGTGGCCAGTTATCACAATTCCTGCAGTGTGCAGTGAGGCAGTTTGTGATCAATGACGTGGGCCAAGGGCAGGTGACTCCCACAACCTTCACCAGTGGAAAGACAATGTCAAAGCTGATCTTTCTTTCAATAACTCTTATATTTATTGTCTTCCATAATGAAACACTGTTCATTAAGGTCGTCGGTGTCTTCAGTGTGCACTTTCATTGTGTGAAAATATTTTAAGTTTCCTTGCACAGCAATCTCTTTACATACCAATAAATATCATATTATTAATACCAATAAATACACAAGAAGCTTTTTGCAATGCGTGCACACACAAATGTTTTGCAATGCGTGCACACACAAATGTTTTGCAATGCGTGCACACACAAATGTTTTGCAATGCGTGCACACACAAATGTTTTGCAATGCGTGCACACACAAATGTTTTGCAATGCGTGCACACACAAATGTTTTGCAATGCGTGCACACACAAATGTTTTGCAATGCGTGCACACACAAATGTTTTGCAATGCGTGCACACACAAATGTTTTGCAATGCGTGCACACACAAATGTTTTGCAATGCGTGCACACACAAATGTTTTGCAATGCGTGCACACACAAATGTTTTGCAATGCGTGCACACACAAATGTTTTGCAATGCGTGCACACACAAATGTTTTGCAATGCGTGCACACACAAATGTTTTGCAATGCGTGCACACACAAATGTTTTGCAATGCGTGCACACACAAATGTTTTGCAATGCGTGCACACACAAATGTTGCAATGCGTGCACACAATGTTTTGCGTGCACACACAAATGTTTTGCAATGCGTGCACACACAAATGTTTTGCAATGCGTGCACACACAAATGTTTTGCAATGCGTGCACACACAAATGCCATGAAACTTTAAATTACATCTGACACTGAGCACCGATATGGTGCTTGTCCAGAAATTATTTGTTCAAAGAACTTTATTACTTTTATATTACAGTAATAAATTTAATGTGAAAGTGATGCAATTAATAAAGTTGCTATTAATTATTTGTCTTTTTCAAGTACTGATGCTTTTATCAGATTATTTACATTGTTCACACATTCTTGTATTTTAAATATAATTAACAATTTCCAAAACAACTATTTTATAAAGAAAATAGGATTAACAAAGAAATAAACCAGGTGCAATCTGACATTCAATGGGGCAGACGTGTAGAGATACATCGAGAGGGCAGGATATATGGTAAATGATGCAAAATGACCAAATAAATGTCACTAAACATTCTAATCCAGTATCAAGAATTAAATTTTGCAAAATTCTGTAAATAATTCAAAAGACATTTAATTGCAGCTTGCATAATTCTCTTGTTAGTTTCATGAACAATAATGGTATATATATTTATTTTTTATTTAAGTGCCAATTATTCCATACTTCAAATGTATATGGAATGTAGGTACACCACACAATTCTCAATGAAAATTCACATTCACATTTCCTTTGATAATGTGGACTTCAGTTCACTAGATATTCACAATGCACACAGAATGAATCAAGTGCAAATGACAATATTTGAAAGAGTGGAGTGAACTATTATCCAGAGGCTGCCAAGGGTGTGCCTGTAACACCCTTCAGGATGATGTATACGTACTACTTTTAAAACTCAAGAGTGTTCATACTATATATACGCAGTGCTTCTGCCACTTACATGAGCTTCATGGCACTGGATGTTGACACTGCAACAGTATTCCACTTGTCAGCACGATCTGTGAAAGGAAATAGATTAACAGGATTTAAATTAAATAAAAAAATCTTAATGTGGTTTTCCTCAAATTTTCCTTCTGAAACACATATGAGACTTATCTTCTTGAGTGAATTAAATTCTCATACAATACACATTTAGGTAATTTCATAGCTCTATCATTTCATACGAACACAAACTCCAAACACGGTATCCACTCACTTTAACACCCCTATATGGAGCTATACAATATCCAGAAATCAGGATAGTTGCTAAATGCAAGGTTATTAAATATCAGTAATATTTACAGTAATTTGGGGGGCCCCCAAAATAGGCATAATGAATATGATGCAACTTGGACCACCAACCAACACACCTCTCTCCCTTCCACCCACCTGCAACAGAAACACTACATGGTTTCTGAGAGGGGAAATCATGATTAACAAACCTGATTGAATTCTATGACTGAGTCACCAAAATATGGCAACATAAGTAAGGATGGATAAATAGCCTCTTCCTAGACTACCTAAAAGCTTTTAATACAGTTTCTCACAAAAGACTAATAGACAAGATGGAGAGACAAGCTTATAACAGGAAAGGCACTGGATTTGGCATGGAAATACTTGACAGACACGAACAAAGGGTCATAGTCAGAAACTATATATCAAGCAGGAAAGGAAAGTGGTGTTCCACAGGGATCTATTTATGTAAATTCATGTAAATGTCTTCACAGAGGAAGTGAGCTCGTATATACCGATGTTTGCAAATGATGCAAACATCATTTGCATCATTTGCAAATTAATTTCATTTTGTTAATGAGATTAAGAATTGAAGAGGAATGTAAGGCGCTCAAAGAAGATCTTGACAAACTTCAGGAGCGGACAGATTAACCCTTAAAGTGCGCATCACGTCATATGATGTGCTGGACGTTGTTCCAGTCAACTGCGCATCACGTCATATGATGTGTTGGAGTACTACGCAAGATTTAAACAGCCCGCGGATACATGGGGTTCACCACACCTTCATCAGGGCTCTTGTAAACAAACACCATTTTAAAAAAAAATCGTGGGCCAAACTCCCAGGTGTTATTGGCCTCAGTATTGAGTGAGCAACCAAGCCTGACGCACGCAGCATGAGCTAACAGCACTGCTGTTCAGCTTGTGACCATAGCATCGCCTAAAAATGCCAAATTATACTTGTTCATGCTATTATGTAGCGATGATATTATTACAGAAGACCCCTGACTGTGATAAAACTGACCAGGGTTCTGATAATAGCAGGATTGTGGTGATATTTAGCGCTGTGCACCATGGAAGGAGGAGTAATGCTGTGGGAGGGAGGGTGGTGGCGATGTCTTTTGACTGTGTGTGGCCACCTTTTATTGACTGCACTCAGCATACCAGCTTAGTGGTTCGCTATGGTGAACACCCAATGTAGATACTTATATAAAACGTGTGTATAGAGGGTATAAACAGCAAGAGAAGGTTTGGAGCCGCCATTTTGGTGAGGGCGGTGGCGTCGTCTGCACGACGCCACCGTGCAGACGACGGTGTCGTTTACTGGTTACCATGATGGTCTTTGGGCACCATACCAGTTTATTTGTACAAGTATGGTGAATAAAACAGGTAGATATTTATATATAATGTGTGTATATAGCGTAATAACACCACACAGTATTGTTGGAGGAGAAATATTAGTGCGTCTGGCCTTGAGGGCGGCCGCCGATCAGCTGACTGTGTGAGTAGCCACATCTTTGTGCCTTTACTCAACATACAAGCTTAGATGTACAGTTATGGTGAACAAAACATGTCGATACTTATATATAACGTCTGTATATAGTGAATTATAGCAAAAACATTATTGTGGGAGGAGAATGTGGGTGAGTCAGATGACTGGAGGGAGGGCGGGAGTGGCTGGCTGGTACACGGCGGTCACTCCTCATTACTTTTTGACTCATAATAGCTACTTAAATAGTGGTTCGTTATAGTGAACAAAACATGCAGATACTTATATATAACCTGTGCTTATAATGTAATAACCGACAAAGTATTTGTTCACTGATTGATGAACATAATTGAATCAACAATATTCACACCATATTTTTGAGCACAGCAATGATTCACTCATTTTATTATATAAATATATCAAACTACACACTATTGAATAATATTACAGCAAAAAAGGTATGAAAAATCAATCAGAGACATTGAAATAATTCGGTAATTATCTCTTTGTGGCAACTCCGGCCTGACAGCTTGCGAGCAACAGACCGCCTGGGACGCATGCTGAGTCAGCGCCTATAATTTGCCAGACTTCCCCGTCCTATAGTGGGCAATATTTGCCACTTACGATTTTTTTATTATTTTTCCCGTGATCAGTGAACACAAATTAACAGGTTAGAAAGAAAAAATAATTTTTTTTTTTTCAAAATGACATGCGCCTGTGGGGATGACAGGATATTAAACGCCGAGCATGTTAAGGGTTAATGGCTGCAGGAATTCATCCCGAATAAGTTTAACGTAATAAAAATGGATGAGAGATAAGAGACTGATTTTACTAAACTATAAGGGGAAGGTAATTTCAAGAAACAATAAGAGAAAAGAGAGAGACCTGGGAGTAGACATAATCGAAACACTAACGCCCGTAGCTCATGTGAACAGGATAACATCAGCAAAATTTTGGAATCTTGAAGCATAAGATCATCATTTAACCCTTGTGTTGCTCGGGGCTATTAGCATTTATCACCCACAGGCGCATACTAAAAAAAAAAAAAATTTCTTCTAAACCTGTTAATCTGTTCTTTGATCATGGGAAAAATAATAATTAAATCTTACGTGGCATATATTGCACGCTATAGGGCAGGGAAATCTGGCAAAAAACAGGCGCCAATTCAGCGTGCGTCCCAGACAGTCTGCTCCTCTCCAGCTGTCAGGCAAGAGTGGCCACAAAAAGATAATTACTTAATTATTTCAATGTCTCTGATTCATTTTTCGTAGTTTTTTGCTGTAATATTATTCAATAGCGTGTAGTGTGATATATTTATATAATAAAATGTGTGAATAATGGCTGTACTCAAAATTATAGTGTGCATATTGTTGATTCAATTATTATGTTCATCAAACAGTGAACAAATACTTTGTCGGTTATTACACTATATACACAGGTTATATATAAGTATCTGCATGTTTTGTTCACCATAACGAAGCACTAAGTTGCTATTATGAGTCAAAAAGAAACGAGGAGTGACCTCCACACACCAGCCAGCCACTCACTCCCTCAACACCTCACTCCCCCACATTCTCCTCCCACCATACTGTTTTTGCTTTTATTCTCTATATACAGACATTATATGTAAGTATCTACATTCGTGTTCACCATAACGAACCACTAAGTTGGTATGCTGAGTGGCAGTGGCAGTGGCAGTGGCAGCCAGTGGCAGCCCGCCACTGGCTGCCACTCCCTCCCTTCCTCACCTCACCTGACATGCCACCATTCTCCTCCCACAATACTGTTTTTGCTTTTATATACAGACGTTATATATAAGTATTTACATGTTTTGTTCACCATAACTGTATATCTAAGCTTGTATGGTGAGTAAAGGCACAAAGACGTAGGACCTCACACAGTCAGCTGGTGGCGGCCGCCCTCAAGGCCAGACGCACTAATATTTCTCCTCCAACAATACTGTTTGTGGTGTTATTACGCTATATACACACATTATATATAAGTATCTACCTGTTATATTCACCATACTTGTACAAGTAAACTGGTATGGTGCCCAAAGACCATAATGGTCACCAGTAAACAACATAAGTCGTGCAGACGACGCCACCTCCCTCACCAAAATGGCAGCTCTCAACCTACTCCTATTGCTGTTTATACCCCTCTATACACACATTATATATTAGTATCTACATTTGTGTTCACCATAGCGAACCACTAAGCTGGTATGGTGAGTGCATTCAATAAAAGGTGGCCACACACAGTCAGAAGACAACGCCATCACCCTCCCCTCCCACAGCATTACTCCTCCCTCC